CCACTTTAAATGTTTGATCTCAAATAGCGAGTGGGTCCAGGTGGCTGTGGATAACCTTAAATTTCCATAGGCCACCCATTCTCTCAGTCTCTACACTGAAGGTAGTTCTCGCCTCTTCCTGATCTCCTGTACCTCCTTCCTTCCATCCTCAGCCCATGACTTGTATCATCTTCTTCAGAAGTATCTAGAGAGAACAACCTGATCTTCCCGCCAGAGAATGCGCTGCTCTTCCTACATCTATACCACATACTCTATCTTCCCTTCTGCTAAATAGGGTGAAATTGTCCCTTTTCACCTAAGACCACATTGTGCCCTGAATCTCAGCCCTTTCCTCTTCCTCAAGGACCTATTCTAACTCCCCTGAGAATGGTCCTCAGTTCCCTTTTCTTTCTTTAAAAACATACTCATTAGAAGTTCTAGTATCATTGTTTTAAGAATACACTGGTGTCTCTGTGGATAACCACACAGCATCCTTGATGTATCTATTCCTTACCCCAAATGCTCAATTCATTAGCAAATCCTCTTGAGCTCTACCTTCAAAATCTATCCTAGGACCAACATTGTGTGATTCCACTTACACAAGGTACCTAGAATAGGTAAATTCATAAAGACAGAAAGTAGAACACTGGTGACCAGGGTCTGGGGAAAGAAGAAGTGGGGAGATACAGAGTTTCAGTTTGGGGATGATGAAAAAGATCTGGGGACAGAGAGCAGTCATGACGGCACAATAACAAAACGTACTTAACGTCACTGAACTGTACACTTAAAAATGGTTGAAATGGTAAATTTTAGGTTATGTGTAATTTACTACATTAAAAAATATCAGTTAAGAAAAAAAAAATTGAATCCAAACACATTTTACTACCACTGTTGCTGCCTCCGAATTCAAACCACTGTCATCTCTCATCTCCATTATTGCAGCTTTTCCTAAAACATCTCCCTGCTTTCAATGTTGCCCCTCCGTCCGCCTGATGTCCACACAACAGCAGGGTGATGGGTTTAACCACAAGGGTGCTCCTGTAACTCACCAGATCAAAGCTCTGTTCGACTAAAACCCAGCTCTCTGCAAAGGTCTTCTTGCTCTTCACTGAACACCTCGGGCCTTGGCCCAGCTTTCACTCTCCGCAGAATGCTCTTTCCACAGCTGGCTCCCTGATTTCAGGTCTCTACTGACACATCACCTCCTCCCAGAGGCCATTCCTGACCCCTCCTCTACGCCATCCTCCTAACACACACGTGCACATCTGTTTCTGCTTTATTGTTCTTAACAGTGCTTTTTACTACCAGACATCATATATGTACTTGTTTACTTATTTAGTTATTACTCTGTTTGCACCTCATACCTTCAGCTCAATGAATTTTCTACCGTTGCTTTTCTAGACCTTAACCATGACTGGTGCATAACAGGAGTTCAATAAATACTTGCCTACTAGAGGCACGGGCGGCACTGTTTGAGGCTCTGCATGTTAAATTTGAGGTTTAGAAAGCTGCAGATGGAAGAGTGTTCCAAAGCCGACAACTGCTCACATCTGAAAGGATTATTTAAAAACAAAGCCCTTCAATGACCAGTGATGATACCCAGGACAGACTGTTGGCAGCAGGAGTGAGTGGAGGGCGAGATGAGATCGCAGTGCCAGGGTAGGATGAACAATGGAAGACACAGTGCCTGCAACATGCTCTCAGCAATAATCGGCATGCCGATGAAAACGGGTTTCAAGGCCTCCGGAGCAGGATTCTCTTAATATGTAAGAAAAATCTTCTTCAGAAGATTATATCATTACGTAAGAAAGCTGACTTGTTGAAAGGTTGCTATGGCGCACAGGTCACCCCTAAGTGATGAGGAGGAAGGCACCTGATGAAGGAAATGCCAAGTGTGGTAGGCGGTGGGCAGCATTGCTGTGGTGCAGCGAATCATGGCAGAGCGTCTAATTTTCAGGAGACCAAGTTGGGGCCCCCTGAAATTGAGTTCCTTTGATATAGTTTACATTTCTTAAACTTTTGAGCAATAAAAAGCAAAAGCAAACGGGTTTCTAAAATAAACTTCCAGAATAAAATTTTATTTTTAATATAATACGCTATTTGCGATATTTAAAAAAGTGTCCAGATGAGACACTTCTAAGTATTATAAAATATTTACTGAAGATTGCATTGAAGTTGTGTATCTTTCATTGTGCTGTTTCCTGTCATAACCAGGCCATCTTCCCCTCCCTCTCAGGCCCACTCCAGAGGCTCTTCTCGGTGGGCACTTGGCGGCTAACTGAACGGAGACCGCGAGGTCCTGCGCTACTTCTCTGAGCCCCGGCGGTCACTCCTCAATCAAGCTCTGAGGACCTTGATGCCCCCCCCCCCTTTGTGGGTGAATGTAGTAATAAGAGAAGTAGACCTGTTGACTCATGAGCCCTCCCTTGGAGGGTGGCCCACCATCTCAGTCTGCCCTGGACTGAGGGGCCCAGGGACATGGGACTTTCAGTTGCTAAATCTGAGAAAGTCCCGGGCAAACTGGAATGAGTTGGTCCCCCATCCACTATTAAGTTCAGAGACTGAACCGAGGTGGGAGCTAACTCGGGGCTTTAAACTTCCTGTGACCGCAGGGATCTCTGCTGTGTGTCTTTAACCCTCCTGCTCCCATTGAATTACATCCACTGAATAAGAGCCCGTGAGTTTCTACTAAACCTCAAATATAGTCCTCAAACAAAAAGAAAAATGATGTCTATAAATTATGATAATTATAATAACCACATGGCTCCCTCTAGCCCCCATCCCTACCCCATTCCAGCTACTATCACTTACCCCATTCTGGGGGCTCAGCTCTACCCCAGACTCTAGTTCTAATCTTGAGTGTGGACTTGGGGCATTTCAGGAGTCTGAAGCCAGCTTCTTTGACCTTAAGGCTCAGTGTGGTAGCTGGGTTCGTGCTTTCCTTGACTAGGTCCCCAGTTGTCCATGTGCCTGTGTGCTGCTACCCGCCTCGAGGGTCCAGTGTCCTCACAAATGGCAGGCAGTGTGTGTATGGGATTCCCCATGTCCTGACCATCTGCCTTGGCCTGATCTTCACCTCCACACTGCTGGGCTCTGCCCCTTCGTAGGCCTCCCCAGGCCTCCCCTGCAGGGCCATGCACACATGTAGCACCTCTGTGAGCTTAGGAGAAAGGCACCCTTCTGGTAGATACATTACAAAAGGATAATTTAGAATAGAACATCCTTTCCTTGGGCATCTTGTGAGGTGCAGGGGTTAGCTAATAGAGCCCTGAATAGGTTTTAACTCCGGCTGGCAACCCTTTCTCTAGGTGTATAATTTATACAATCACACCTACTCTCTTCCTAATGCTACTGACTGATGGCCTCAGCCACCACCAGGGCCTGACATAATGACATGCTTGTCTTGTCTGGACAGATTCTGTCTCATTACTGAGCACTAAACTTGAGTGAATCTGCTCCCTGTCCACCCTGTTCCCATCTCAGCTTTCAGATCACTCCTCTGTGGGGTCTCATTCTTAATCTGATGGTGTTAAAAAAAAAGTAATGCCACAGCCTATAAAAAACTGAAACAGATAACACTAATTATGTAACATTTACCTGTTCTATCAAATAATATAATAAAATTCAATTTTAGTGTAACAAAACCTACTACCCATTGCTTATAGTACTTCATTACATTTGATCAATGCTGATCTATGGATAGATTTTCTAGTCTTTTCTACACTTCTTTTCACCCCAAAAGATAACTTTGGGATAATACAGTGTTTTCTCTTTCCAAAGACAGTAGATAGAAGAGAGTTTACTGATACAATTTTGATTTCAGGCCTACACCAAAATGTATTGTTCCCGACTTCCCCGTGAAAAAGATGAAGATAGGAAACTTGACTGCCTAAACTGCAGTAGTTCCTGAAAAGTAAAATCAGAAAAGAGAAGAAGAGAAAGAAGTCGCGGTCTCATGGGCTGAACATCCCAGTCCTAGAGGAAGGTGGTTATAGCAAGGAAATCTGACTTGGGACAGATGTTGCGAAAAGACTAGAGAAGAGAAAAGCCATTTGGACAAGTTGAATCACATTATGCTGAACTTTTGAAAACTTATCTAGCCAGAGAGAATCTTTTTTTCTTATTTGGAATTTCAGGCTTTGAAAGTTCAATCAATTCAATTCAAGCTTCCCTGATGGGACATACAATTACCACACAGTTTGAGCCTGCCAAGAAGCCTTGCATGTTACTTTGTGAAGACAAATTGAATTTTATTTTTGTGAGAAGAAAGATTATTTTCATAACCTCTATCATATTTAAATGCAAGACATTTAGGGATCTGAGGATCACTGCTGAGTTATAATGCTACCCTTCACAGTTAAAACAAATGTGTACACAATAAATAAAGTGTAGAACACGTAAATACTTAAAAGAGAATTGTAGTGTAACCATTGGCTATGTGTTATGTGGTACACATATATCTAAATACATACGTATCGAGAGACAATGCATGAATACATACATAAAATTGAAACAGAATTGAAGTTTCATCGAGATGGTTATATATGATGCTTTACATCATAGTTTAGAGAATGTCAGTCCTTTGAAATACCTTTGCATAGCCATATCTGTGCTAAGATCAGAGCTGAATACTTTTTCTTTTATTTTCAGCAACCCAAAATAGCTTAATAAAGAGAAACAATTTCCCTAGGGTGCCTTTCCTCCTTAAGAGCATTGTATAAAAGATGTAGGAACAGTTTGGAGAGAAGAGCTTACCTGCATTCACAAACCCCAGATGGGGTGGAAGTTTTCATGCATGATAAATGAAATGGAGTCCACTAATCAAGCACGTGATCACTTCTTACACCTCCACTGTCCTCCTCTATACAACTTCCTCTGATTCTAACCACTGGCCCAGTGAAATAATGACCCATGTTCAAAAGTTGATCAAGTTTTCATAATCTTTCTACCTGGTGGACTTACAGTATTCATATTCACCACACTTCCCAGGAGGCATGACAGTGGGAAAAGCAGCTACTTACTTGTGTTTATCTTCTGGAGTGAAATGTGCTTCTCCAGCTGTCTCCTAAGTTTCACCTCTGCTCCATACTTCCCGGTGGTCCCATTGTCAGCCAGAATGAAGTGGGAATGCATGCTGTTGAGAACAGTGAGCTTGCTCATGGGATTGGACATGGTCTGATATGGCCGGACAACCTGCAGAATTTCCAAAGATGAGGCAGAAGTCAGAGAAAAGAGAGTAAAATTTTAAAAGGAGAACTGGACAGAGAGAAAAGAGAGAGAAGGAAAACCAATTCTCTGGTATGGTCAAAGCAGTCTACTTCCTCTTCCTAATACTGCTTTGGGTAGAAGCAAGATTTATGGTAAATGTGCTGTTAGAAGCAAGATTCTGTTTAAAGGATTAGGTATTTATTTATTTACTGAATGCATACAGAACCTAGAGTTTGTGCTTTCATTATACACAAAAATTGGCATGTGAATGATTGTTTCATTTTGAAGTCGATCTTCTATCTGCTGATGAACTAAAAATAATCTTTAAATTTAGTTATTTTGTTTCTTTCTTTCTCTTCTCTGTTACGTCCGTACTCTAATGGGCACAGCAGAGCAATGATGAAGCGAGAATGGTGAAGGCTGGGGGCCAGAGGTGAATTTTTCTGTCAAGCCCATTCAATCATCTGAAATTCTGTTATTTCAAATCCACACTGTTCTTATTAGACACCTTACTCAAGGGGAAATGTTAAATGTAAAATAACTGCCTCATGTAATGAATACAAATCAGGCTCAAAATGATCATCACTGTCTTATTTTGTTGTTGTTGGTATTTTAATTTCAGGGTGAATTACATTATCTAAAACAGAATAATTCTTAGTGTGGCCTTTCAGATATTTGATATAAAAAGAAAGCAAGACCTAGTTGCTTTATATATATACTATCTCTATTCCTTGCAACAATCTGACAAGGTAGAGGATGTGATGTTTATTTTGTAGATGAAGAAACAGGGGAAGTAGATTTTCCAAGAGTTCACTGTGCACAGAACCAGAATTCACACCCAAGTCTTTTGTGGATGAAGAAACAGGTGAAGTCGATCTTCCAAGAGTTCACTGTATATAGAACCAGAATTCACACCCAAGTCTGCCTGATTCCAAAATGCATCCTTATTCCCCTTTTCCATGTTGCTTACACACAATAAAAACAATGTATGTTGTAAACTGACTTCTGAAGGATTTTGGCAGAAACTTCTGCAGGACTATGTAAAGGAACATTCAACCAGCTCTGCGTCACACAGTGCCATCATAGTTATCTCTGTCCTGAATCGTCAACATTGACAGGACGGAAATACATGCTGTGGGGTTGTTACTTCTGTGCCTTTGTGCTGTGTGTCCATTACCTCTGAAGGTGAGATGTTTTTGTTCATTTTCAGTATGTAATAAGTCATCATGAAAAGAAGGTGTCGCAAGACTGAGTGGTTTGTTAAAGGAATTACAAAACTATTTAATAAAGACAGTCTTCATGGTAAAGTTCTCACGAAAGTCATATTTTTTTAGACCTTGATGCTGATTTTGATACCCCACATTTCTACATGCCTGGCAATCACAATTTTCTCATTAAGTAGTGAATGAATGAATAGGACAACTGGAGACAGTCATGCTTTTGTTCAAAATTGGAGGAAGAAAAACAAAACAACTCTTTCTTTTCTGAATTGTTTGGGAGCTGATCTAATCTAAATTTAAAATGTGTAATTCTGAGCTTTTGAAATATCCTTCATTTCTCTATTATATGTCCTATTTGTTAATGTGGCATTAATATAACATTAATTCATAGCTTCACTTGAGTTAGCTCTTATAGATAAAGGAAGCCCAGAACTTTTTGATTATTGCTTATAGTAATCACATGAAGCAGTATTCAATTACTTCTTTGTCTATATCACTGAATGAGAGTCCCCAAAATACAGAGACAATGGTTGGCTAACTCCATCCTGAGCTTTTTATCACTGGAAGAGTAGGTCACCTGTGGTTGAAATTCCCATTTTGTTGTTACTCATTTGTGATCATAAAACATTCATTCTACATCAGAGTGGATGTTAATAAATATTAATGCTTTGTTGAAAGAGATTAGCAGAAAGACTTTCTCCTATTCTTAAAGTGCCTCTGCATTGTGCTTTTGGACAAAGGAACATACTTTAGTTACTGTTCTCCCTTTTCTAACAGCAGGCTCCATGCCAAGAAGACCCAAAGCAATTCTGTGAGCGGAAGGGTACAGTATATTTTCTAGAGGTTCAACTCTGTGTGACAGTGAACCTAGACATTTGTTCTAATTGAGACACAAGGACATGTTTTCTAATTCCTGGAAACCTAATTAAAGACCATCAGTGAAAGTGACATTTTCAAATGAAGAAAGGCATGAAAATAATTCTGGGCCAAGCTCATGTACTCACCACAGTCTAAGAATAAAGGGACATAATTAAACCATCAGACTATATTCTCTATATCTGTTTCCTCCACCACTGGATTCTAAGGACAGTGGTGCTTCTGTCTTCTGAGTGTTGACCTTTTTTTCTTGGGAAACAGGGCACACCCAAGTTATTTGGGAATACCAGTATATTTGAATCAATCATGACAAGAAGGTCAAGTTTACAGTAACACTCATGCATTTTAATTTCTTCATCTTGCCGCTTCCCATTTCTTTAGATCTTATGTGAAGGGTAAATTAAAGGTGATCACATTTTGACAGACATTTTGTCTGCTGAATAGGGGATATTAATCTAAAATAATTAAAATATCCTAATTTATTTTCTAGTCATCATTGGAGGAAGATATGCCGAATCCTGGAATAATTCTCAATGTATGAGCCATAGAAATCTGAACCCAGTTCTGCCAACGGTCATGTGAATCTGAGTCTCATATTTTTAATCTCTAAGAGGAAAAGAATAAATACCTTAGATGAGATTATGTGTAAAGTACCTGGCACCATGCCTGGCTTCTGGCAAGAATTCCATAAATGTGATTTCCTTCTTAAACTCTGCTTTATTTTACCAACTATAAAGTGATTTTCCACTTGCAAATTGGTGATCAAAAGGAAATGATAGGGGACAAATCGCTGACTTTTCTTTTACATAGGGATTTAAATCAAGCAATGTAAGTAAAAGCAAAATGTTGGCCATTAGTTGGCAAAATATGCAGTGTTTTTTCTTTGCCATGTCCTCTTAGGCCATTTATGAGGGGGATGATCTGGAGCTATTTGTTGACTAACTACAAAGTAGGAAATAACTTCCTACATTTTGGTCTAACTTGCCTACAAAATTCACTTGATGTTCTTCACTGCAAATACACCAACAGTTTGTTTTTGTCTGAGCTTCAATTTGCATATCGACAAAAGATTTACTGATCTTGATATGTTTTTCAAATAGAAAAACATAGTACCTTTGCATTCCATAAATACAAATGAATTTTTATCTCTGACAAAATATTGGAGGTAATATATCCACTTTTATTTTTAAGAGCTCATAAAAAGAGGACTTTTAAAAAATGTGTGTGTATATGTGTGTGTGTGTGTGTATGTGTGCGCATACACGCACACACGCATGCATAGTAAGGACAATTGTGACATGTCTATGACCTGTTTCCTGAGAGTTTCCAGTGTTTTCTGAAAGAGTCAAGCCCTAATGACCTATAGCACCCATTGTATGTAATGGACCACTTCTCCTAAGAATAAAAGATGATCCAAGTTATGTCCCGCTCTTGAGAGAATTGAGAATAGAGTCACTGAAATAATTTTTGTGTGTGTGTTTTATAGTTCAAATGATAAATCTGGATAGAGAAAGGCTGACTTTTGTCTGAAAGGCCTACGTATCAATTGATCTTTCATGATTAGTGAATACAGAAGTATCTAGATCCAGAAGGAAAATTTGGTTAGAAATGGAATGTAGACACTTAGTACTTTTCAGGTGGTATGAGCCCGAATACCTTTAAGTAATAATATTTTGCCTCTCTATTGTTCCTCAAGAGCAAATGACAGACTTCTTCACTCATTAATTCATTGTACAGCCTGGTAAAATTCTGGTTCCAAGGCCTTTGTACCCCTTGACTCTGAAACAATGAGGCAGTGAAGTGGTAACTGTTCGAGGGGTTAACAGAGGTGAAGGTCCTTTATACAAGGCATTTGTAAGGTCATTGTCATTGCTACAAAGAGACTGATCCAGACACACTGGAATAACTGAACATCTTTCATATGCTGGTGCAGAGTTCTCTATTTATTTTCCCTGGATAGGCTTAAATCGATCATTTGGTAGCTGATCTAAGACACCTGCTTGAGTTTTCCTAACTATTTTTATGATTGTTCTGGTCACACCCAGGAGTACTCTGTGGGAAGTCAGGAGATGGGGATTCTAGTTCTAGGTCCTCTCGTTACTAATTTGTGACCTTTAACAAGCATTTGAATTCATTCGTTTACTCACTCATTAAGAATATATCAATAGAATGAATGTGCTAAGTCCTATTGTGCTGGCTTGAGGAGACATAGCATCTCACATCTAGGTAATATCGCACAATAAAGTAGATGCTTTTATGCCTAAAATTGAGTCTGGACAGGCTGTGTTAAAGAGTCCAGTTATTTTTTTCCAAGTTAGTTCAGAACAATAACCCTCTATGTGTGTTGGCTACAAAAAAGAAAGAAGAAAGAAAAAAAAAAAGTAGTTTGCTCATGTCTAGGTCTCCTCCATTTGGGGTACTTTCTACAGTGTAAGGGCAGTTTGGTCATAGGTGACGCCTTTCCTGAACAGAATCGAATTGAGCCGAATCAGGTTTTTGAGTCATCAGTCACAAGTCTTCTGCAATCCCAGGCCTGATTATCTGGTGAGGGGTATATCAGCATCGCCCCGGCAAATAGCAGGGTAGGGGACATGTGTCCACAGAGTCCTTCTTTCCCTCCCAACAGCACTGTGAATTTAATTTAGGCAAGAAGGAAATTAGCATTCACTGACCACTTGATGCCAGGCACTGAGACAGACATTTTCACATGGATGAATCCATTTAATGCTTATTTTATAGGTGAAACTAGAGAGCCTCAGAGATCGGAAGTGTCTTGGCCAAATGTGCCCCCGTAACACTCTTTCCTCCGAACCCCACATCAATTCCTTTATAGAGCAGGAGGCATTTCGAGGGAAAACAGAGGACCCAGCCTGATTTTAAATTTATAAA